TCTAGGAGTCACAATATACACCAACTATTCATAGTCCCCTTAGAGATAGTCTTATACCATTGTGTGTAAAATGAAGAAACCTTGCAGTGATTGTATGATTACTCCTCCCCCACTATTAAAATTGTCATATGCATTGTATCTATAGTTATTACAAACCCACAATACATTGTTATTAGTTTTGCTTTAATAAATTACATATTTTATAAAGAAATTAAGAGAAAATATAAAACTTCATATTTATTCACTTTTTTTAAAAATTTTTGATGCTTGACATTCATTCCTGAAATTCTAAGTTTCTCCCTGATATCATCTCTCTTCAGCCCAGAGAACTTTTACTTAGCATTTGTGTAATGTAGGCCATGTAGTAAAACTTTTTCTTAGTTTTTCTTACCTGAAAATAAGATCATAATTTCACTTTATCACCAAAAGTATGAAGCTCAAGGTTGACAGTTTCTTTCTCTCAATACTCACTGTTTTTGGTTTCCATCCTTCCTAATAAGATATCTGTGATAACCCAAATGATTATTACCTAGTAGGCAACAGATTGCTTTCAAGGTTTGCTTGTGATTTTCAGCAGTTTGACTATAATATGTTTCTCTTTGACTTTATCCTGTTTGGGTTTGCTGAACTTCTTTTGTAAATGTTTGACTTTCACCAAATTCAAGAAGTTTTCAGTCATTATTTCTTAGAGTATTTTTTCTGATTTTGTTTCCCTCCCTGTTCTTTCTGTGATTCTAGTATTCTTACTTTAGCCCTCAAAAAATTGTCCCATAGTTCCATGAAGTTCTATTTATTATTTTCATTCTTTATCTTCTTTTATTTGGATAATTTCTACTCATGTATCTTCAAATTTACCGATTCCTTCCTTTGTCATTTTCTTTTCCCTCTTTTTTTTTTTTTGGGGGGGGGGTACCAGGGATTGAACTCAGGGGCACTTGACCACTGAGCCACCTCCCCAGCCTAATTTTGTATTTTATTTAGAGACAGGGTCTCACTGAGTTGCTTAGCACCTTGCAGTTGCTGAGGCTGACTTTGAACTCCTGATTCTCCTGCCTAAAGCCTCCCGAGCCACTGGGATTACAGGCATGCACCACCACACCTGGCAACATTTTCATTCTTAAGTCTATCTAGCAAAAATAATTTTTAAAAAAATTTTAAGTATTGTACTTCTCCGTTCTAAATTCCCATTTGGTCCTTTCTTATATTTTCTTTCTTTCTTTTTTTTTTAAACTATAGCATTACTTGTAAGCATATTTTTCCATTACTTCATTGATCACAGTTATGATAGCTGCATTAAAGTCCTTATCTGAACATTTCAACATCTGAGTCATATCAACATTGGTGTCTGTTGATTCTTTTTCCCTTGAAAATAGATCACATTTTTCCTGATTCTTCAGATGTCAAGACTTTTGCATTGTAAGCTGGATGTTATAAGTGCTTTGCTATGGAGACAAGATGTTTAGCCAGCTTTTTCATTGCTGTGACCAAAAGACCTGACAAGAACAGTATAGACAAGAGAAAGTTTATTTGGGGCTCAGGATTTCAGAGGTTCAGTCCTTAGCTGACCAACTCTATTGCTTTGGGTCCAAGGTGAGCAGAGCATCATGGTGAAAGTGTATAGAGGAGGAAAGCAGCTCAGGACTTGACATCCAAGAAGCAGGTCTGCTCACCAGGGACAAAATATAAGCCCCAAAGTCACACCTCCTGTGACCTACTTCCTCCAGTTACACCCCACCTTCCTAAAGTTGCCACTTAGTTAATCCATATCAGTGGATTAACCCACTGATTAGGTCAAACTTCATAATCTATATCATTTCACCACTGAAAATTCTTGCATTGTCTCACATAGGAGCTTTTGGGAGACACCTCATATCTAAACCATAGCACTTTAGTTTCTATTTCTTTGTTGTGAAGATTACTGAGGTTTTTGTCTTAAAATGAATTGAATTTTGTTGACCCCAACTACACCCTGCCAAGCCCAGGATAGATGATATCTCAGGTCTGAGTTCCATTATTTAAGTCTTAGCTGCAAACTCTTTTTAATTCACCCCTTGTAAACATGGTTCAAGGATCTATCAGACACTTGAGCTGAGTCTATGCACAGATTTCCAATCCCCCCACACTTTTCTTTTGACTTCTCTCTTAGCAGCCCTTACTCCTTCTCTTGGTTTCTTTTACCAGAACAATGGTCTTTATGACAAATTTTTATTTTATCTGTGGCTGCTACCACAGCATTGCTACTCTGAAGGTAAAGCTACAAATGAAAAGAAACAAAACAGAGAATACAAGAAGTACTTATCACTTTGCTTCAAGTTTCAGGTCTCTTGCCTGTCTCTATTTAACTCTCTAGAAACCTGGTTAGCTGCCTTTTATCTCTTATCCAGTATGTATTGATATTATTTGCAGCAGGATTGGCTTTTTTAGTACATTCTCCTCTATACCAGAAGTGTGGCTCTTACTCTTTTAGCGATATAACTGCAGTGGCCTTCTGGGCTACCCTCCCTGTCTTTAGTCTGATTTCCCTCTAATGCAATTTTCACTTGGGAGCCAAGGGATTATAAAATTTTGGTGCTGACCTTGCTTTTATGGGATTGGCTTTTGACTCCTTATAATAGTATCCATAGCCCTTCATAACTAATTGCTGTTCTAATGCAACCTGGTGCCTTTTCTCAACCTAGTGTGTTTCTACAGTCCTGGAGTTCTCTACTTTGCCTTTTCTTACTCTCCCTCGCCTAACTCCAGAATCACCGTTCCCTGTTCCCATTTTGAATTTGCTGTCCCCTGAAAATTCTCTTAGTATTCTGTGTGACTTCCTGTAATGAAAGTTGTCACAAAGTTCTTTCTGCTCAGTTGTCTGTGCTCCCACAGGTCTGAGCTGCTCTGGAGTTGCAAATCATGCTATATCTATTAAAACTGCTAACTAATTCTCCTCACCTAATTTCACAGGCTGCCTGATATACAGAAGATAAACCAATATTTTATCAACGAATTGAACTTTGATGAATATAAATGTTTTATTTCTGTGCTTCTCTGGTTGCCTGATGTACATAGATAGAATTTCCATAAGAGCAAAGGATTTGGGGCTACATAGCCATTATTCACTATGTAGCATTTGGGGCATATCTGCTAACTTTGTCTCTTATGCCCCCTAAGAATAGGTTCTAGACCCAGCGTTCTGTGAAATCCTTATGACTAAAGTCTTTAAACTGAGAGGGGTAAGGTCACAGGATTGCTGGATTTAGCACAGTGGCAGGTCTTTTTTGCCTTTCTCTTTCCTTGCAAATGGGAGAGTCCAGATATTGCCAGGGAAGGGGTGTGTGTGTGTGTGTGTGTGTGTGTCTGAGAGAGAGAGAGAAAGAGAGAGAGAGAGAAGAGAATGTTGACATCCTCTTGGCAGTAAGCCAACACTATTCTTCATACTAAGGAGTGGGTGAAAGATTTGGAGCCCATACTCCTGTCATAGCTGGCTAGCTTCTTGGGAATCTGGAATGCATTATCTTTCTTTGCTCCCTAATTATCAGAAGGGATCCAGAGACCTTTACCTGGTGAAGAACACGGGTTTGCATGAGAGCTGCTGCTTTGCTCCTTGGTATCACCCTTTCAGAGGGAGAGCTTCTGACTCTAATCTACATATTTCTTTTCAAAACAAATAAGCTTCTATTTTCAAAAGATGTTTAAACTTCCTTGTGCTTTCTAGTATCTTAGACTAGAGCCTTAGCTTCAGCTCCAACTTGAAAATTAATGATGATGGAATGTGATGATCATTACCATCCAAAGTACATGTATGAAGACACGAATTGATGAGACTATACTATGTATACAACCAGAGATATGAAAAATTGTGCTCTATATATGTAATAAGAATTGTAATGCATTCTTCTGTCATATATAAATTAAAAAATTTACATAAATAAGTCAATAAATAAAAAGAAAATAAGAAAAAGCAAATGCTTTAATTTTTTCTAGTTAGACAAATAACATTGTAAAAGTATTTATACATTTATTTATCTGATACATTTTATCTGACATCTCCTACATGTCATGCTTCAAGGATAGAGCCAGGAAGATAAATGCTGTCATTACCTCTTGGAAATTTAGTCTAGCATTACCAAAAATATATATAAAAAAAACTTCTTTAAAAGCATCTGAAAAACCTCAGTACACAGAGATAACCACTTCTTTCTGATTTTTTTATGTGATTTGTCCTTTAAATTTCAGATACAACCACTTCATCTGTTTTTATTCCCATATCCTCAACTTTCTTGCACCTTTGTCCTTCATTTCCCCCATGGGACAAATTTCCAGTTCGTGAGCATCTAATCATCTACCTATGTAATGTTTGGCTCTGGACTAAAAAAAAAAAAAAAAAGAAAGAAAGAAAGAAAAAAAAAAAAGAAACTATTCAGAATGTTAATTTTAATCCCAAGGAGCTTGTTCTATTTTATATGTTTGAGATTTTGAATTTTCCACACCTATGAAATACTAATTATTGAGTTATAGAGGTATTTCCCACTAAATTAAATTAATAGACTTACTCATTTTATAGTTTAATGGGGGAATGTTAAAAGTTGAGCGACACCTTATTTTTAATGGCAAAAAAGTGATAAATATCTAAATGCCCATCAATAAGAGACTAGTTAAATAAACAATGAACATCTGTAGGATGGAATAATATGAACCAATTAAAATAGTTTGCTGACAAAAAGAAAACTAGTAAACATGGATACCTATAACAAGTTGTTGACTAAAAAAACAGATTATTTTATAGACTAAGATATGTTGTTTTCATTTATGTAAAATTGGATGTACATGTATGTACACACACCGATTTATGTAAAAGGATTCAGTGTATTTGTTCACATTCTATTGTATAAGAGATGTTTAGTAAATACATTGTGGTAGATGTCCATGTCATAGGGGGAAATCAAATAATGTATATAAATTGCATATTTGTGAGAAAACATTTGGTCGACTAAAAGTACTTTCCCCCTTATTTCTAGAATAATGAGCTACAAAGCAGATTGGACTATTTAACAGAAACCCAATCCAAAACTGAAGTGGAAACCAGAGAGATTGGAGTGGGATGTGACCTTCTACCCAGGTATTTAAGAATTTCCTGTTTTTTTGACCCAGATTCTTCTTTGACTTAAGAAAATACTTTCACTGGATGGTTAATTACAGAATTGCATTCTTTCTACCAAAAATATTTCTGCAAAACTAAGCGGTGGTTGCTGAGGGTTCAGAATGGTTTCCGTGGGAACAGAGACATTATATAAGGTGGAGGGGATATTGAAGGAGAGACCTGGAAAAGCTACTTTGAAAGAGAAATTGGACATACCAGTGAGTGCAAGTATTTGTTCATTCATTCACTCTGCAACTAGATGTTGATACCTCCCCTGTGACACTGAAAGCAGTGAGATTTGGTTCGTGCCACACAGTAGAGTCTGGAAGGACAGACAGATATGTAGCAGACATTGATGACAGTATGAGAGGGTGGTGCAAGGTGCCTTGGTAATGTTGAAGAAAGAGGGTCTAAATCTTGAACCAGATACTTCTGTTCCCCAGTGCTGTAGCAGAGTATTATCTAGCATTTGGTCTGGTTCATGTATAAACAATCTGCTTCTGTCACATTTGTGATGTCGATAGCCTGGTTGGTTCAGGGCATGCCTGGGCCAGGACTGGCTTCTTCATTGTTAAGCTGCTCTTCATGCCCAGGCCTGTGTCCCTCCTGAGTGAGATTGGAGCCTGTGCCTTAGTAGTCTGCCCTTGATAACTAACTTCTCATTTCTAGTTGCTCACAACTGTGCCTGGCTTAAAGAGGACATAAAACAAATTTACAACAAGGATACACATGTGACTTGTGATCTAGCTAGTCAAAGTCACAAAATGCCTTATATCCTGTGTGCAAAAGGGGATTCTTGCATAAGTGGGGGCCTTTGTGTGTGTTGTACTAACACTGGTGGCCCAGAAAAATGTTGAATCCTGGAAAATTGAATGGTTATATCTGGTGGGAAAGAGTGATAAGCCAGTCACCAAGCTGGGATGAGAGTCCTTGTTTCCGGCTTCCTAAATGCCAGCAGGAATGCTTCTGGCAGGTCATTCTTGGTTGGACCTCAGTGTCCTGGTCTCTGAAGTCAGTAACATCTCAGGTCTCTATCATCTGTAATGTTATAAGAGAAAACCTCATTTCCCACCCTACTTGACTTTTTAAAAATCTATTAAGGATGCTTTTTTTTTGCTCATTAAAATAAGCCACTCATCATCCTCAAAGAAATTATCAAAAGCAGCATAAAGCTCTTTTTTTTTTTTTTTGACAATGTTCTTATTTACATTTCTTGTCTTCTGGTAAAGACAAGGCAATTTTGTCATTCTGATAAAATTAACGGAAAATGTTAAAAAAATATACATAAATAGACTGTTTCATCAATGTGTGATACAGTGTATGTGATGAAAATATAACTAAAAAGAATGATTGATTGTGTTCAGGGACTCTTTTTGAAATATAAATAATTTGGCCATTTTTGTTTTTCAAGAACCAAGTGGTTTAGTCCACTCTAATTGCCCACATAATAAATCTTGTTTGGCTAAGTCGGGTACAAAACTATGTCTGAAACCAATAAATTGTTTGTTTTCTAATTCCCACATTTTGGCTTAAAACAAGCTTTTCAATTTGTATGTCCAAGCAGAGCCCGAGGCAAACTTTTATGGCTAAGTTATGAAACCACAAAGCGGTTTTCATAATGGAAGTGCTGACAGACCCTTAACTCATGGCCACGGTGAACTTGGAAGCCGCTTCAGTATCTAAAAGCAGCTTTTCCATAAATGTAACATTTGGTTTCCCCCAGGATCCATCTTAGCACTTTAACTACCTGGGTCAGTCAGCAGAGGAAATGAAAACTACATAGCCACATTTCCGAAAAGGCAGAGTCATATTTCATGCATTTCCTCACAATTATTTATTAAGTGCCTACTATGTGAAAGGCACAGGGCAGGCAGTTCCTGCTGGTGAGGGTGCAGGAGTTTGGGAGATAACTCAGGGCAGTGGTTTTCCACCTGTGCTTCTTGGAACTGCCTCGCTCTGAGCCAAGGCTCCTGGAAAGGCCTCACGGCTGGGGGTGAGGAAGGGTTAGTGAGGTCCTGACCTGGGGGCCTCCCTCCCTCCCCACAACAATCTGAGTCCGTTTTGAATATTGGATTCCAAGTAAGATTTTGTTTGAATAGAGTTCTGTGGTCAGAAATAAATTGGACTCTCCCATCCCTGTCCTAGTTGAATCCCTTTGTTTTACAGGCCACAGAACAGAACCCCACAGAAATAAAGTGACTCCCTGGAAGCCACGCGGCTGGGGTTAGAAGCAGGCCTGAGTCTTGGAGTACATTGTAGCTGGAAAATACTTGATAGAGTTGCTAAATTGTGTCATGTATGTTTTAACAAAATTTCTGGTTATTACTTGGACTTCAGACTTGCGTCTAATTAATAAAAGAGTCCATGGTGTTTTCCAGAATATTTTTTGAACAGTCACCTCCAGAATATTTTCAGTCAATCAAAGTATTGAATTAAACCTCAATTACACAAAAGTGCTTTGTTCTTACACCCTATTTTCTGATTAAGAACTGAGCAGTGTGGTCTAATTGGGGAGTCTAGATGCCCTGGATTCCCTGTCCCACTAGCTGCTACTGATTGCAGCCTTGGGCAAATTATCTAACCTCTCTGAAACCTCAACTCTTTTATCCTTAAAAAGGGGATGAAGAAAATAATTTCAAATCTCACTGGATTGCCTGCCTGCCTGAGACTAGTCTTCCCCTAAGTGGAATCTATTCAGTACCCTCTCCCTGCCCCTACTGTCTCCTCTTCAACTTTTGCCCCTCTGTCTAACCTTTGTGTTCTTGAATTTCTGGTGAGCAAGGATCTCTTAAGGTGAGGGGAGAGAAAAGGGTAAGGAGTGACTCACTGTAAGTTCAGAGGCTTTTAAACACCTTTTTCCTTTTTTTTCCTTCCTTCCTTCCTTCCTTCCTTCCTTCCTTCCTTCCTTCCTTCCTTCCTTCCTTTTTAAAGACAGAGAAGTTCGGTTTGAAAAGTATGATACATGTTAATTAAAGCCATGGAGAACAATTTCAGATTGTCTAGCCTTCATTTACAGAGAAAAGCGAAAATCCAAAAGAAAAAGAGGCTTTTCTTTCTTCTGCCTTTAGTGAATTGAAACATGGTTTCCAGGAAATTCATCAATGATGCCTTAATAGGTACAATTTGATGAAAAAGAAAAAAAAACATTCCCCATGATCATAAGTGCACAGCACATAGTATGTGCTTTAAAATGCTCACATTTTCACATTTCTGTTGTAGAGATTGGAATGCAAAGTCAACTTTTGGTCAAAAGCTTTGTTTTCTGATTCTGCTAATACTGCCCCCCCCCTATGTGGAGGAGGAGGATTGCCCTTTTGTGGATTAATAAAAGGTTAACAATAGCCTGAATGTGTTAAAGAAAATAGGTGAATTTCAGTTCTGTGGTTGAAATTATTTGTGCTCTTGAAATCCTGTTGTTTCCTAGTGACCTGCTTTAGCAAAATATGCCACTTTTTTTTTTTTTTGGAAGGTTGGGATATGAGTGCCTGTTGTTGAAACCCAGAAGGTTCACCTTTATAAATATTTCTGCATTTTATGGGCTTTTAGAATATTGTCACCAGAGACCATTTCTGTTTTGAGGAATTTTCACAGGAGTTGGCACAAATTGCCATCTGGTTTCTGCCCCTGCCATTTGCCTACACTGCCTGGTCAGGTCTCCAGGGACTCCTGAAGTGCCAGGTCCCATGGATTTCTCTTCATGGAAGGTGACACTGGGACCACTCACTCCTCAAAATTCCCTTGGTCTCTGGTGTCCATTGTCATCTCTATGTAAAATGACAGCTGTGTCCAGCCTGTGTGAGCTGCTGGAGTCATGAAGATGACTGAGATGTGGTTTTTCCCCTCAGAGAAATTATACCTAGCAATGGAGACAAATATATACAACAAGTGCAACATGAGATGCTTCCTGTGGCTGAGCCTGTATGAAAGAGTCATTTTCAAGGTGTCTAATGCGGGATGACATGGTGGATGTCTGGAGGGGGACATGTGAAGTTTAAGATCTGGCCACCATGCTTCTGATACACCCTGCACCACTTTGTGAATGATTGGATGTGGGAAGTTAGGGGAAAGGTTGACTCTCATATTTCATATGCTTTTCATCATTGCTTTAGTCAGCACGAGCAATATAGCTTTGCTATGCAGTAATCCACAAATCTCAGTGGCTCAGCACTATAAATATTAATTTTTTACATCATAGTCAAAGACAGGTTGTATTAGCCCCACTCCACAGAGTCATTCAGGAACCCAACATTCTTTTTTTTTAATTTTTAAATTTCTTTTTAGTTATACATGGCAGTAGAATGTATTCTGACATATCATATTTACATGAAGTATAGTTACCCATTTTTGTGGTTGTACATGATGTGGAGTTACACTGGTCATGTATTCATAGATGAATATAGAAAAATTATGTCTGATGCATTCTACTGTCTTTCCCATTCCTATCTCCCCTTTTGTTCCCCCATTCCTCCCTATTCAATCTGGTGAACCTCGACTCTCCCACCCCAACTATTGTGAATCAGCATCCATGTATCAGAGAGAACATTGGCTTTTGGTTTTGGGGGATTGGCTTATTTCACTTAGCATGATAGTCTCCAGTTCTATCCATTTACAAGCAAATGCCTATTTAAAAAAAAATTTTTTTGTAGTTGTAGATGGACAGAATGCCTTTATATTATTTGGTTTTTTAAAATTTTTATGTAGTGCTGAGGATCAAACCCAGTGCCTCATGCATGCTAGGCAAGTGGTCTACTACTGAACTACAGCCCCAGCCCAGCAAATGCCTATTTTGAGTGAGCATCTGCATATCAGAGAGAACATCAGGCCTTTGGTTTTTTAGAATTAGCTTATTTCATTTTTTTGTAATTGGCTTATTTCTTTTCTCCGATGAATGTTTTTGGTGCCTTTGTCTAATATGAGATAACTGTATTTATGTGGGTTTGTCTCTGCCTTATATTCTGTACCATTCATCTTCATGTTTGTTTTGGTGCCAATACCTTGTCATTTTTGTTACTGTAGCTTTGTAGTATAATTTAAGGTCTGGTATTGTGATGTCTCCTGCTTCACTTTTCTTGGTAAAGATTGCTTTGGCTATTCTGCACCTCTTACTTTCCCAAATGAAGTTCATGACTGCTTTTTCTATTTCTATGAAGAATGTCATCAGAACCTTAATAGGAATTGCATTGAATTTGTACAGTATGGCCATTTTGACAATATTGATTCTGCCTATCCAAGAGCATGGGAGATCTTTTTATCTTCTAAGGTCTTCTTCAATTTCTTTCTTTAGTGTTCTGTAGTTTTCATTGTAGAAGTCTCACACCTCTTTTGTTAGATTGATTCCCAAGTATTTTTATTTTCTTTGAGGCTATTGTGAATGGGATAGTATTCCTAATTTCTCTTTCAGTTGATTCATCACTGATGTATAGGAACATGATTGATTTATGAGTGTTAATTTTATATCCTGCTACTTTGCTGATATAATGTATAATGGAACCCAAGATTCTTTCATCTAGTGATCCCCTGGGCTTTTAGAGTCCTCCTGGATCCTCCACTGCATTGTCTGCATAAAAGGGAAAGGAGAGGGAGCATGGAGGAATATGTGGAAAGGCAGTAAGAGCTAAGCCTGAAGTAATGTGAATCATTTCTGCCCACTTAATCACATGGCTCACCTAACTGTAAGAGAAGCTAGGAATTTTAATTGAGTTATATATCCAGAAGGATAAAAATGGGTTATGTCTCCATTTTAGTCTCATTCTCCTGTTAATTCTGCCTCCTAAATATCTCCCTGAACTTGCTACTTCACCTCTGATACTCCTTTTGGAATTCTCATCTCTTTTTCACTTCCTAACCACCAAGAATTTGCTAACCTTCTACCTTCAGGCCAGCTTTTCCATAGATAATTTTCAGCAATTCCAGAGAAATCTTGCTAGAATAAAAATACATCATGGTTTCCTATCCCCTCCTGAATTCCTTAGCAAGGCACTCAGGGTCCTTCTCCACTTGTCTCTTTTTCTGCCACTTTTTATTATGAACTCCTTGCTTTACTAATACATGTCTCTGTTGCTCACCCTCCTTTGCCCTGGCACATACGATCCCTTCGGCCTGAAGTTCCCATCTCCTCTTTGCCTACTCGATGATGCCAGGCATCCCTCAAGATTCACCTTCCCTGTGTAAATTCCCGGATGTGAATTTCTTGGTGATGCTAAATTGTTCTGCCCTCAATTAACTCTTCATGTGTTCATCTTCATTGTTCAAGGTCCTGAGAGGAAGGGAAAATTGAAGGAGTTCAAAGGGGCTATTTAGAAATGTTTGGGCAACTGTATGGGAAATAAACAAGAAATAGTGTTGTGCTCCAGAGCTGGCAACAGTGGAAGCCATAACCACTTGTCTTAGTCTGTTTTATGTCGCTCTGGTTGCATTTCATGGTAGATGATATCACAATGTCGGGTGCACATGTGGAAAAAGAAAAAGAAGTCATGTGGTGACACAGGAAGCAAGAGTTTGAGGAGGGCCAATATTTGTTCTTTTTATAACAACCTGCTCTGAGAAACGAATACACCCCTACTAGCCTCAGTCCACTCTCACCAGACCATAAATCCAGCATGGGGTAGAGCCCTTTTCACCTAGGCCCCATCTCTTAAAGGTGCCACTACCTTTCCATGCCACACTGAGGACCAAGCTTCTAGCACATGAACCTTTGGTGGATACACCAATCCATATCCAAACCATAGCACCACCATAGGCCTGAAGAGGCAGGGGAGAATGCTGGTAAAAGAGAGCAAGGGCAGAAATGTAGCATTGGCCTTTGAGAGAGGAATGTACTAAGCTACCCAGCTGCAGCCTAGCTGGAAGAAACAAATGTCCTGACTCTCTGTCCATCCATTCTATGATTCTTAGCTGCCATTTCCAAGCTGATTAGAACAAAACAGAGAAGTTCATTGATGCTGACCTTCAAGTCAGCTTCCTAGAGCATACAACAAGTGAAGAGGGATGGAAAGTAGATCTGTATGAGCAAACAGAATATCCAACACTGCTCTTTACGTCTCTCTCATAGTACCTAACACATTATATTAAAGTTACTTATTTGCATGTCTTTCCTGCCAAGGTATGCACTCCTTGATTGTATGTTTTATATTTTTCGGAATCACTGATGCCTGGTACACCTTTAAAAGTTTCAAAAATTATGGTCTTGTCTTAATATATTTGGATTACTATTATAAAATACCATCAACTGAGAAGCTTGAAAAACAGAAACTTGTTTTTCACTCTTCTGGAAACCAGGAAGTCTAAAACCAAAATTTGGTTTCTGGTGAAAACCCACTTTCTGGCTTATGGATGACACCTTTTCCTCATGTCCTCTTGTGGCACATGAGATGATGGGTCTGTTTTATAGAGGCACTAATCTCACTCATGGGTGTCACACCCTTAGGACCTAATCACCTGTGAAGGCCCTGCTTCCTAAAGTTATCACCTTAAAGTTTGGATTTCAGCATGAGTTTGGAAGGACCAAAGCATTCAGTCCGTTGCAGGTCTCTTTTGTAATGTTTGAGTAAAATATTAAACTGCAGTTTTTTTTGTTTTTTAAATGCTGAAAAACCATTTTAGAGAGTCGTCTTGCCATGTGAAGAATGTAGAGTTTTTTGTTTCTTCTTCCTGATCTGCCTTTCTCATTTGCAGCCAAACAGGCAGGACTCGCGAGATTGTGATACCTTCTAGAAACTACACCCCGTACACGAGAGTCCTGGAGTTGACCATGAAGAAAACACTGACATAGGCATGTGGATACATGCACTTTCTACAGGTGGCAAAGCCCCTGAAACCTTGTGGCTTCAAGTCAGGAAAGGGTGACTGTTGCTTCTTCATATACGCAGTGTAAACAGGAGTGGAAAATTGCTGAGCCTCTGACCTACTTCCAAGAGAGGAAGGAAAGTGAAGGCAGAGGGGACACAGAAGGAAGAGATCTATAAGGTCATATTTCAGACACCCAACCAATGTTACCCTGCTGTACTGTATCGTCATTTATTTCTCATGTAGACACTGAAATCCTAACAGAATTTCACAATTTATTTTGTGTTTTGCTAGAGTTTGGTTGGGAAGGGAAAGGGCATTAGTTTGAAATTTCATGTTACTCATGCCAGGGTGGGTTATTATAGCATGAAAGTTTTGTTTACCCATAAAAGTATTAGAGACAGTGTTTCTCTGGCACAAAGAAGCCTCTTCACAAGAAGCATGGGCACCTGGAAAAACTTGAACCTCGAAGAAAGGATTCCCAATGTACAGTGCTCTCTCCTCTTGGTGTTGAGGGTCTGTGCAGGGTTGTAGGAGCCACCATTAGAGACTTGTGTGGGCCAGACAAGCTTCATTCTGATTGCTAATCTCTTATTTTAATTTGTGCCTTATGCCTTTGTAGGATCAGCTGAAATCACCGTATTTATTCAACCTGTGATTTTTTTTCACTTTAACTTAAAGAGAATTTTTTATGTTGTAGAAATTTAATCATTGGATGTTTTCAGTATCAATTGGTGTTTTTGTTGGAAGAATGAGTAATCTGTTCAGGCATGCTGTACTTTGATATTATTACCTATATCACATATGTTTAATAAATACCATATATTTTGTTCTACTAATAATGTTGTCTCTGTGTTTACTCCACGACCATGTAGAGGGATTCAGAGCAGACCAGGCTATAGAATGAGTGTAAAGGTCAGATCACAGTGATCTTTCATCCATCAGTATGAACTACAGAAGCATGGAAAAGCATAAGATTTTATGTGTGTATGTATGAGTGTGTATTTCTTTTAATTTTCAAAATATATTTAGCTAACACACCTTCTCAAAAGAGTAAGTAAGATATATTCATGATCACAAAATGCAAAATTTGTTTTTCCTTGTAAAAATCCCCCACCCTTTTTCCAGGTTCTCCTTACCTCCCCCAGCTTAGAAAAAGAAAAAGAAAGCCCACAAAATTCAATGAATCACCGTGAGTTGGGATAAAGAGGAAAATGTGTGTTTTGGAGCCAAATTTGTGTACAAACTCTGGCTATGGGACCTTTAGCAAGCTGTCAACACTCTCTGATTATAGTTTCATCCCCAATAACCCAGGAAAATCATACCTACTCAGTAGGCTAATGTAAGTAGCAAATGAGGTAATGCAGAAGGGGCTGGCCCAGGCAGAGCAGGCACCTGGGCATCCATTGCTGTCACTCTGGAAGTTGTTTTAAAGCACGGCTGGAAGTGTTCTAGTAGCAAGAAACCATGCACTGTAGAAATGACCAGAAAGGAGTATACATAGAGCAAAGACTGTTGTCAGGACCAGGAGATAGGGAAACTGGGCTCAGAGAGGGGCAGAGGGTCCCAGGAGCCCTGTACCCAAAGAGAAGCTGGTCTGGAAGCTATTTCTAAATGAATGCAATGACTTAAATAATGTCAGTTTAATGAGACCAAGACAGAAATAAAAACTGTTCTGTAAACATTTCTCCATTTCATCCTTTCTCTGTCTCTTAAAATGAGAAAGAAGAAAAAGGAAAGCTTTAGAGATTTTAAATTTAAAGAATGCCAGGAATCATTCTGTAGTGGGAGTCTTTGTATTTTAAATATACCTTCAACATGTGGAGAATTCTAAACATTGTGCACACTGAAACTGGAAGAAACTGAGAAAGAATCCTTTTAGATCCAATAATGCCAATAATGCTAACCCTCAATGTGAAAGAGTGACATCCATCCACTTCATGAACATGAGTGTATGGTAGAACTGAGGGAGTGAACTCTAAAATTACAGAATAAATTTATGTCTCTGAAAGAATAGCAGTATATATAATAGGGTTTTTAAAAATAGCATTTTATAATAATGCTTCAAATTAGTATTTTCACTCCAGGCCTTCCAGACTTTCTTAAACACACACATATATACTACTTATTATTATTTTAAGAATAAATTCAGCCCTCTACTGAGAAGCAGAATCATGTGGTTTTTAAGAGTCTAACTGCCTCAGCTCATTGACTAGTGTGTTCATTATAAGTTATAGAACCAACTGAGCCCCTGTAAAATGGGAATAGTGACAGTTTCTTCCTAATGGAGTTGATGCAGAGAACAAATGAGTTAGTCCTCATACAGTTCTTACAATAGTGCTTAGCACAGTAAGTGCTTCTTCAATGCTATCTATCATCATTACATATTCTCATAACCATTTCTTGCTTATTATTATTATTATCATTTTTATATGTATAAACACATATAATCTACACTGTTGTATGTGTGTGTGTGTATGTGTGTGTGTGTGTGTTTGGTACTGAGGATTGAACCCAGGGACCCTTAACCCCTGAGCTACAGCCCCAGTCCTTTTCATTTTGAGACAGGGTCTCATTAAGTTGCTTAGAGCCTCACAAATTTGCTGAGGCTGGCTTTGAACTTGAAATCTTCCTGCCTCAGCCTCTTGTGCTGCTGGGATTACAGGCATGCACCTGTATACCATTTCTATAGCACCTAGCTATACCATTTTTTTCATAGTTACTTGGATTCCATTTTATTGATGTGCCATGATTTAATCAACCTATCCGCTAATGTTGGAACTTGGGAGGTTGTCTTTACTTTTTTTTAAGGATGATTATCAGGGTTTGGAATGGATTCCCTTCTGATGAACCATCTTGTGTACATGTCTTTGTACACTCTCCTAAATTTTTTTTCCCTCAGGATAAAATCCTAGAAGAGGTATTGGCAGACCAAAAGGTATGCAAGCTTTAAGTCCTTTGTTGCACAAAGTCCCATATGTCCTATGAAAATTTGTGTCCATTAAAACTCTCACCCACAGGATGAGCATGTGATTTCCTGACCTGTTTGCCAACATTAGGAATGAGAAACGAAGTAGATTAAAAATGGGTTTATTTGGGCAGATTTATCACCCACATAGGCAATGAAAAAAGTTCCTTCAGGATATTGCCTTTGGATACCTGAGCTCAGGAATGTGCAGGTGTGAGCTGCATTGCTGAAGGAATCCCCAGGGCCCAGAGAATGCCTAGACATCTGACAGGAAACAGGATGGGCTCAGAGGAACTAGTGTCCCCCAGGATCCAGAAAGCAGAGAAGGCCTACTGAATAGTATGCCAGAACTGAGAGCCAATCATGGAGACAGAAAAGGGTTTGACTCTCGGTAGGACACTCAGAGGCCAATTCCCAGGGACACTTTGGGAGATAAGACTAACATTTTGGGGAGTGTTTGGAATTGGGAGATGTGTGACATGGTCCACCTATTTAGGGTTCACTAACCAAGGCTGACCCCTAAGCTGGTCCATGTGTGTACTCTGGGTATCCCCCCTTATTCCCAAGTGGATACCATCTGCCTGCTCCAGGCTCTCAAGTGTGGTCTTCAGAGTAAGGATAAGGGTGACAGGAAGGGTAGGATTCACTCCTCTTCTGGCTGAGGTGACACTGGACCATAGTGCTCCTCTTGACTCCTTGACTTGATTCTGGTTATTGGTGACGAGTCCTGCTTCCTCACATGTTGAAGTTTGAACATTAGAGAAGCACGCTCAGGCAAGCATATAAAGCAGGGTTTATTTAGAAAGGGGTAACATAGACTTCTCCCATGAGGGAGAGGGAGCCATAGCTGGTATCCTGGTATCCCAAGAAGCGTTCTCCTGCCCTCGTCCCCTTATCTTTCTCCTTCCAGCTATGTAACTAGGCATTTGACTAGGCCTAGGAAATGCTGGTGGGATGGCCGAAAGAAAACAGGTGGGCTGAAGGGAGAACGGAAGGATGGAGCATTAATTAACAATCTTATAGCTTCCTGTAGGGAGGGGCAATTCGTGGGACAAGTTACCTTAGCAACAGGTTGGAGCAGGGGGAGGTTCTTGATAAGGGTGGAGGGAGGGCTCTGAAGGAATTAACATTTCAGTCCCTCGTGGGACAGTCTCCAACTTGCCAGACTCACTCAAAATTGACTTCCTTGATCTGAACTGACTTCATTTACCTATCTATACTGACTGCCTGTCTAATTCTGGCTTCAGACTCAGAGGTTCATTTCAGTTCAATGAGTGCATGCTAGATGCTGGAAGATAGACACATGTGCCTCCAGACTCTTGGCCTTTCCAAAATCTCTTCCAATCAGCGCAGCTCCTTCTGGTCTCTCCTGTCTCCAAATCCTACTTATTTCTGGTCCTATTTTCAACCCTACACTGAATGACTAGTCTTTGTGTTCATTTCTTGTTTCTCTAGTGATGTAAGCTGCTTGGGGACAGCTTCCCATAAAGGACACCTTAGTCATTTGAAGGGAATCCATTCCAAGCCCTGATAATCATGGAAAAGTTGACAAATTAAAAGTATTCCAGAAAGATCCCTGGCTGAGGGAAGCAAAGGTGGCCAGACATTACTGAGTGGGACAAGGTAGGTGTATACTGTGTTTTCACAGCAGTCCTGCTTGGGAAGACATTATCACCACCATTTTTTGGAGTGAGGAAACTGAAATTCAAAGACATGTGAAAATTGTCCTCAAATACCCAAGCCTATCTGATTTCACAACACAGTGGGGAGGCCTGAAGTTGGTCCCAGTCTGCCATTAAACTGCAATACCCACTTGGTCAGGTCATTATAGCTCTCTGAAACTCTATGCCCCACTCCATAGCTTGACCTCAGAGGTAAAGGAATTGCATCCTCACATACACTTACCAAGCTATCACAGAAGAGCTTGGGTAAAATTCCCAACATTGCATCAAAGACAAGCCAATAATTGATACCTACTGTTATTATCAGGCACTAAAGGGAAGAAGGTACTGTGCCATGAATGTTTGCAGACCTGTGGGATTTCCTCTTATAGAACACATTAATTAGAGACCTAATGAGTACCAGTGAATGAGATTGTGCAGAAGGAAAATAGGGGGAACTCCTAGTCCATTTTCTGTTGCTGTAAATGATGTACTTTATAAGGAAGTTTGTTTAGTTCATAGTTTTGAAGGTTGAAAATCCAAGATCAGCTTCACCATCTGTTTGGCCTCTAGTGGACACTGTCCTGGCTATCTCTCAACCTGGTGGGAACAAGTGTGAGAAGGAGAGATCACGTGGTGAGACAGAAGCCAGAGTGATGCAGGAGCCAGGCTTGCTCTAACAACCTTTTCTTGCAGGAACTAACCAGGGCCCTATAGGAATACATTAATCCTTTCCACAGGTGGCACCCTCAATGACCTAACCACCTTCTACTAGGCCCCACCTCTTAAAGGTCTCACCTCTTCTTAACATTGCCACACTGGACATGGGACCAACACTTGTGGACCAGGCTTCCAGCACATGAGCCTTTGTGAGAACAAACCATATCCAAACCATAGAAGGGAGAAAATGTGCTTGGATACATAGGAGGTTAAACGAAGTTTAATGGGAATTTGATAATAACCCATGGGACTTTGTCAATGAAGGAAAGACCTAAAGGGAGACCAGAAATATGTTTCTAGAAAGAGACCAGAGGCAAAGAAAAAAGAAGGAGACGGCTTCTAGTTTGGAGTGATTTGTTAAGCAGGAATAACATATTTTTCTTTCTTTTTTATATGGTTATCAGATTGATTTTAGCATCATTTGTTGAAAAATACTGCTCATTTTCCATCGAATTGCCCATGCACAATTGTTGGAACAAAGTCACTTCAG